TTCATAGCAGCGTCAGTCAGGGGGTCACTGCTAATCACGGTGCCAGCTGCCTTCCCCTGTGGCCTGGGCCTCCCCACTGAAGACGGAGCAGAGTGAATCTGTGTCTGGGAGCCAGCCAGCGTGTCTGTAGATGCACCACTTTCTAGCTTATTAGATCCTCTTTGTCACAGTGCTTAATCCTGCTGCCTGATCCTTGTTAGAACACCACCAGCATGCCGCTCGGGCTTCTAATCAAGGAGCTGGGTGAGGGCGCCTAACTAGACGCACTGAAGCGTGCGGCAGTGAGGGGGGACTGTGCCCTGACAGCGGGCCGGGATGCTTCCCGCATGTTATTACTTAAAAGGGAACCTACCTCCAACAGCTGACAGATGAGCTCTGCCACGGCCAGGGTAACTTGTTGCCGGACTTACATGAGGCGGGTGTCATCTTTTCACACAGTATCAAGGCCTGGCTTTACTCTGATTATACAAACCCCCTTCTGAAATGGCTGCATCCTGGCCCGACGCGCTGCCAGGTTAGGAGTCCGGAGACACAGAGCTGGCTGGCCGGGAGGATTAGGGCTGCGCGGAGGCAAGTACCGAACTCGCCTCGGATGACGTGAAGTTGAAAGGCAAAGTAAGCACGTCCTGTTAGGCGGAGCCTGGTTATTGCTCTGAAGAGTCGGTCCGTGCCCGGCCCGGCTCGTGCCACGTCCATCTCTGTCACCTGCAAGAGTTGCCTGCCGTAAGATTGGCCGTGGATGCTAAACAGGGTTTTCAGGGGTCTTTGTTACAAAAACACAGCTTTGACTGCAGAGCTGTCCTTTGGGGGGTTTCTGCCCCAGGGAACCTGAATCTCTCTTCTCTAGTGACCTCCCAGTCCCCGGAACCCCGGGGAAGACCCGGGCATCTGATTCAGTAGCGTCATTCCATACCCAGTGGGGGTGGGGGAAGGTAACCCAGGCCCCCACCCCCTCCAGCTGGAGCGCACAGACGAGTGTGAAGGGAGAGAAACAGAAGTGCTCCTGAAGATCCATCCCATGGTCCTTTGTGTACCCCGGCTCTCACACTCCTTTTCCCCAAAGGGTATGTGTCTAGCCCACATCCAGTGTCTCCTGCATGCTCTGCTTAGCCGACGTCGTTAGCAGTCCTCTCTGCCTCTTCTGTCTCCTTTGACAGCACTTAAATAGAGACATTGCTAGGGATTGACCGATCTCCGGGGGGTCAGAGGCTTCAGACAAAAGGGCCCAGAGAACACGGCTGACCTTTCTTGGCATTATTCCCCGAGCTCTGTCTTCCATGTGTGGCAGTCAGGGAGCATGGAACTTCAGTATGTGATTTTCAGAGGGTTACCACTAAAAAGGCTGCAGGCTTCACAAGAGGCTGTTAATAAGTTAACAAGAGGCCGGGTACATTCCCAAGTGGGTATGTAGGTTGTAGGTGGTAGAAAGCAGGTGCGGCTTTCCCATAGAAATATGCACTTGGACCTCACATTCAAAGCTGATCCATTACATTTGCTTTGCTTATCTCTACCTGTATTTTTGCATTCTTGGGACAACCCTTGGACCTTGGTGGAAGGGAGCCTGTGATACAGCCCAGGAAGGAAGAGAGTCCCCTTTCTCTCGCTGTCCCATGGACATCGTCCCTGAGCAAATTTCGAATAACGGCATTGCCTGGTAGGGGTGTAGGGGGTGGTGGGGTCCTTCCTTGAGCCTTTCCCTGGTCCATGGTGCTCTCACACTGACCCAGGGCCCTGAAAATACAGCATGGTGAGAAGTGCTCAGTGCTCCTATTTCCCTCCCCTTCTCCCCCAACTCTTCTTCCACAAACTATAGTGTCCCTGTGATCCCAGTCTGAACCAAAGGTTAAGAGGAAAGCAATCCAGTTGAGTTAATTCGTGGTAGTGTATGAACGATGGGGAGTCCTTGATGTTCATCGGATCAAATTATACCCTTGAGAAATTCAGACTCTGTTCCTCAGTAGGGTTAACAATTTTGGGGAACAGGGAGGAAAGGTCTTTAGGTCAGAGTAGACGCTAACAAGTACATCCCTTTGCTCAGGAATTGCTTAGCTTCCTTATGCAGTTCGTGCTTTTCATGACTTCTCTTCTTTGCTTAGCCACTTTGGAGTACATATATTTTTTCCAAATGTCTCTGTTATTTTTTTTTTCATAGTCGATTTCATGCTGATGTCAGTGGGCACGCCTTAGAGGCGGGAAGATACGTAAGCGCATGTTGTTTATTAGGTCAGTGTTTTAAGAGAGGTGTTCATCTTCTAGTGTCTCTACCCCCAACTTAGTGATTTGCTATACCATGGTTACTGATGTCTGGCTTGTGACCCTTTCCCTCAATGACCGCGCTTGCTAAGAACCGCAGGAAACCTATTCTGTGTACATTTAACACAGGACACTTAAGAAATACAGATTTCTTTTTTTAGAGTAATTTTTACATGGAAAAATTTTTTTCAGACATTGTATTCGTTTTTAGGAAAAGTGGAAGGTGGGGAAAAAAAATAAAGAGAATGATACAGAAGAGGATGAGGGCATAGAGTATAGCAAAAGAGATCCTAAAAGAAGATAAGAATTACAGAGGAATTGAAATGAGAGATCATTCTTATTCTTGAAAAGCTAAAAGCCCTCCCCAAATGAAGATTAAAAACAAACAAATAGCCCATTGCCTATAAGGTCACAACTGAAGTAAGATACCCAGCTCAGCAGAGAATTTCTGCAGCTCTGGGATTTTCATTTGCCCTAGGCTGTTTTCTGACTCATGGTTTAGAGAATAAAACCCATTAATTTACCAAATGATTTAGTATCTGACTAATGATGTTTAACCATTAAGATAAGGAAATTGACAATATTGATAATCTTGGAGAGAAATTTATCTGCTAATTTTTGTACTTAACACCAACAGATTCTAAGTAGCTTTGGAAAGATCATGATGAATTACTCACTGGTAATATTTGATAGTATTAATTTTCTTTAAAAGCGTTTTATTAAATTGTAATCACTTTTATATTGGTCTTTTTTTTCTGAATAGTACAAGTTCATCTAACAAGACGGATTGAAACTCTGCATCCTTTTAGGAAGAAATATTGCATTATCTTCCCAGTAAAAATGTTCGTTCCTTTCTAAAGCCTAGATCAGCTGAGAAATTATGTGCTTCATGGCATACCTGCTCCCAGAGTGTGTCCTCCTTATCTTGAGTTATCAGTTAAGACAAAATTGGCAAGTAGAGTTTCAAAACAGGACAAACATGATACTTTGGATGTGTCTTGGGAAGAATGGTTGCTGGGTGTCTATGTTTATATAGCCTTGGCCTGCAGACTGGGAGTCTGAAAATGAACTTCCTCAGTAGGGCTTATAGGGTAAGGCCTTTGGTGAGCCCCCCCACCCCCCGCCGGATAAACTGCATACATCTCTGGTCCATAACCGCCCTGTTCCTGTCTCTTGTGTAGGCAAGTGTGTGATGAGACACTCTTTCACATGTAGACTTTTCCATTTTTTAGTATACCAAGCAAACAAAAAAGGCAACCAATTACTAACAGATGATATTCAGTTGGGTGGCGCTTACTGGGTTTTTTATGCTGCCTTACTTAACGCATCCTTGGTTGATCTAGGAGATGTAACCTAATAGTTTCCCCAGACATTCTAGAAAGAATACGAGATTTAGAGTCAAAGCCTTGGGTTCAAATCCCCACTCTTAAGTTTTCAGATCTTAGACATGTTATTTAATTTTGTCATGTTTCCATTCCATTTCTTCATCTATAAAGTGCTGTCAGTGACTAAGCTTAGGGATTGCTGGAGAATCAAATGAAGAAATGCTCCCCCCCCACACACACACAATTGGTCAGCCTTTAAGTTTCTTATTTATTTATTTATTAACATATAATGTATTATTAGCCCCAGGGGTACATGTCTGTGAATCGTCAGGCATATACATTTCACAGCACTCACCATAGCACATGCCCTCCCCTAAGCCCATAACCCAGCCACCCTATCCCTCTTCCCCTACCCCCTAGCAACCCTCAGTTTTTTTGTGAGATTAAGAGTCTCTTATGGTTTGTCTCCCTCCCAATCCCATGTTGTTTCATTTTTTTCTTTCCTTACCCCCCAGGCCCCCAACTCTGCTTCTCAGATTCCTCATATTAGGGAGATCATATGATAATTATCTTTCTCTGATTGACTTATTTCGCTTAGCATAATACCCTCTAGTTCCATCCATGTTGTCGCAAATGGCAAGATTTCATGTTTTTGATGGCTGCATGGTATTCCATCATATATATATACACCACATCTTCTTTATCCATTCATCTGTTGATGGGCATCTGGGCTCTTTCCATAGTTTGGCTGTTGTGGACATTGCTGCTATAAACATTCAGGTGCACATGCTTTTTAAAGGTAATAGGTCAACTAATAAGGACAGTACAGATGTGAATTTCTAGCATGACCATGTCAATGAGATTTGTTTAGTGCTGATTCTTTGATGTGCTTATGGTACCTGAGGAATGCAATAATAATTTTACCTGGACAGCATTCTTCCTTCCCTCATATTCTACTTTGATGAATAGTGGTGTTGATTGGATTGGGTTTAGATCACGTTGGACAAATGGTGATGCGCAGTGTCAAGTAAGATTTCAGAAAGTTCTGATATGACTGTTTCTTTCAGTTGTGTATGGGCTGTTTTTTGTTTTTTGGTTTTCTTTTCCTCTGTAACAAATACCTAGAAAATAAAGCATGTGCTGCATTTACAAGAACTTCCAGGTTTACTTCCTTTCTACCTTGACCCCCCCACTCCCTTTCTTCCTCCCTCTCTCCCTTCCTAATTTCTTGGGGCAGCGTACTAGGACTAACATTGCTTTCATACCACTGAGGACTTGAAATTACACATTTTTAAAAAATAAAATCAAATGATCCAAGAGATATTTGGTGTTGTGCCCTGGTTATTAGGCAGTACTTCTTAGATCTGATTTGTGTTGGATGAAATGAACTTCACCTTTTCCTCTTTCCTTCCATCATTGCAGGAAACTTGGATTTAACTGGTCAGAAGCAAGTGTTCAAAGCAGAGAACAATCCCTGGGTGACCCCAATTGCTGACCAGTTCCAGCTTGGCGTGTCCCATGTTTTTGAATATATCCGTTCTGAGACGTACAAGTAGTAAGTAGACTGTGATTTTTGAAAATAATAGGTTGTCGTTTTATAGTATTTCTAATTACACCATTTTAAAAAATTAACATATGATGTTATCGTATTGGTAGCAGTTAGCTTACAGTATTTTTAAATGCTTTATTAATAACCACATGTAATTTTCTCTTTTTTTTATGGATGATTTTTAATTGACATTTTCAAAGGGAATTTATACCAAATTTGTTAAAAAATGTTTTAAGGTATTAGTTGAATATTCAAGGCACTAACGAAATTCACCAGACACAGTAAGATCAGCATGTTTTTTTTTTCTCCTTTGAACACAAAGAATAACAAATGTTATGAACAAAATTGTTAAGCAGTTTATTTATAGAATCAGGAGAAACTACTAGGGGAGCATCATTCTATTCTTCAGAAGCTCTTACTCTAGCAAGATGGTAATCTCTCTAAGAGAAAAAGAAGGGGCAGAAAAAGAGGAAGAGGAATCCGCTCGCTTATGCCATAGCATCAGAATCCCTCAAGTCCTTGCCCTGGGTCAAGGGCAGCTTGTTGGGAGCCAGGCCTCCAAACCTTACTGTCTACATCTGGTTCTTCCTCATTGTGTCCAGGTGGGAGGGATTCTTGCACATCTCCTTGCTCTGTTGTTGTATCTTCTGACATTATTTTCCCCTCATCCTACCCCACCCTCAACTGAAGGGATCATTCTTTCCTATGCTTCCATGATCCTTGATGCTCAAATCTGGTCTCTGCTAGTTCTAAGCAAATACAGAAGAGACTTGAAAAAGAAAAACCCACAGTCTGCTTTAATCTGATTTTGTATGCAGCCCCAACCTTTGAGAAGAGCTAGAGGAACTTTAAGGGTCACATGCAGTCAGGAGCTTGCACTTGGGGGATCAGAACAATGCCCCCCACTCAACGGCCTTGCTGAATCTGTGCTGGGTCAGTGGCTCAGGATTAACCAACAGGGCAGAATCCCTGCCTATACATGGCGGGCTGTGGTTCTGGAGCCCCCTTCCGTGTACCCTTGTATACGGAGCTTGTTATGGTCCTCTTTCCATCGGGCAGAATCCCAGAGAAGATGAGCTGTGAGGAACAATGGCATTAAAACCAAACAGACTAGAATTGCTGACATGATAGTGTATCCTCATCTATGAAAGTGGCTTAAAACGTGGTTTAGTTTTCTTTTAAGATAATACCATGACATCTGCAATATATCTTAAACCTTACCTGTAAAAGTAAAATGAGAGAAGTATAAGGTGTGTTTTATTGTTTCATGAACCACAGAGTTACGTGCAATTATATACATAGTTTCTTTAAATATGAATATAGCTCAGCCTTGGAAATTTAGTTCGTTATGAAAATGTGTGAAAATATCATTGCAAATTAGCAGCTTATTGTTCATTTTGTTCCTCTTGTTAATCATTGCTATCATCCATTTTAGATGGCTGTCTAATTTTTTGTTAGTAAATGGCAATCTCCATAGATCTTGGTTTGTAGGTTATCTTTTTAGAAAATCTCTGCATACATTTTAACATGCAGAAAAATCTACAAGCAGGCTTTTTTTGACTGAGAACTGGGCAAAACACTCTTTTTTATTCTGGGTAATGATCTTTTGTTTTATCATCCATTAATTTATAATGTATAACATATTAGAATATGTGGCATATAAAAGCACTTCTAATTTTAATTTCATTTTAAAATATTCAGTTGTGAATTTATGGATATTGTATTACCTCGGAGTCATTATTAGTCATTATTACAACTAATCACCATTATACACTATTTATTATATATTATAAACTATTTCTGGTTGTTTGAATGTGGTTAGGATTTCGGATGAATGAGGTTCTTGACTTCACTGAGTTAATTGTTCGGTTATTCGAAAGGGAGTATATGGCATGACATTTTTATCAGTAACGTGTCTGTTGGCTGTAGCCCTCTCTCTCTAATTTTGAGGATCAGAGTAATTTAAGCAATTTGCCCACCAGCTTACTTTTTGATTTCCTCCTGGAGACTGGTATTATCTTCTAAACAGTGACATGAACATTCAGAAGCTTAAGTAAGCATAAGAGAGTTGTTGACCCCTTTTAGGGGGACAGGTTAGTACCCCGTTCGCTGTATTTAGAGGAGTCTTCGTGAGCCTCCTTGGGGAGGATACACTTGCTCTGACCCCTCAAGGGCAGGGCCCCTCGGCAAATTCCCTCGGGGTTCTCCTCTTCTCTCCTCCTCAGGAAAGAGAGGTATTCGCTGTTCCCTGTTTCAACTTTCCACCCTTCACCCATCCCCCCGTGGTAGCTGTGCTCACTCCGTCGTTACCAAATATAACTAGCCAAACACCTGGACTATTAACTAGGTAAGACACTAAGACTCTTAATCTTGGGCTTTTTTATAAAAAATACTTACACAAAAATGCCACCTTTATGTTCACTGAATTTTAACATGTAAAGTTCTCTTTTATGTGAAGGGCTGTGTATTGCCATAGCCTCCTGTAACTAGAACCCAACTTAATTCTTTAATTTTTTTTTTAAGTAGCTCCTTCCTAATCAGAGGACTTGTAGCATAAAGCTGTGCACGTGATGACTTTTAAGGAGGCATTTTATTCATTACACTCCCATTTTTCCAGAAAAGCCAATTTCACATTCAGTTCCTTCGTCTTAGGTATTCTGTTCTAAAAGCTGCGGTTTCTACTCTTCGCTTCCTTACAACTTTCTATAAGTCATGTATACCCCTTCCAATAACAGATCCTTTTTTTACATATTGATCTTCAGAATACCAAGAAAGCATATTTTAATTTTGCTTTGGCCCTTAAGTAGCTGATGAATCGCCTTCCTTTTTTGCCATTTTTTCTAACCAGTTGCCTCCTTACCTAAGCGAGGTAAGGTAAAGAACTTACTGGCTTGCTTCCTTTTCATCCGCGTCCGTGGTTGACTTTCACAGCGACCTTCATGTTCCAAGCACATCCTTGGAGGCCTTTGAGTCTAGAGCAGCGACAGGCAGAGAAGATGGATGGTCCGACTTCCAAGAGGGGATGTGGACATTTGAACCAAAACAGTGAAATCAGGGTGCAGAAAGAATTAAAACGCTCTGAGATGATCTAATGTGGCGAAGACAGGAACTTGTGCACTTGAGCTGGGAGGAGCGGTGGCTAGGTGTGGCCGGGAGGGTGTCGAGGTGTCATTTTTCAAGAGCTGGTTCCGTTGAGTACATTTGGGGCATCCATCACATCCTCCTCATCATTTCTTAGGTGGGGACTGCTCTTTGTCCATTTATCATACATTCAGCAAAGGGAACATATTGGCTGGTGTCACCGCGTTGCCCATTCATTATGTTACTCCCTCTATTCGAGTACGGTCATTGGCTCGGTCAGGTTGTTGAAGAGCAAACCCTACGAGGGCGTTAGCATTTTCAGGCTGTGGTCGAGCTATATCCGGTCACCCCTTAACTCTGTATTTGGTGCTGGTTTTCTCCTTGCATGACCACCCTTATCTCTGTGAAGCAGTATTGGGATTGAATAGTCACCACTTGTTAAGTTTCCAGAAGGTAGTTTTTTTTCCCCCCTCCCCAGAAGGAGAAGTCAGATTAGAGTCAGGATCCTTGACAAGATGCTTTGTGAAAGGGAGTAACTCACACTTTTCACATTTCCATCAAGGAAGGTGGATAGGAACTACAAGCCATTTTAAAAGCTGACATGTTAACTCTTAACAAAAGGCGAGGTTTGACAAATGTTCGGCTGAAAATGTGCTGGTTGAAAGAGGCATTTGGAAAGCAGGCATCCTCATGAAGGCTGGAATTTGCGAAGTATGGTGGTCCTAAAGCCTCATTTCCAGAGCGATATCACTCGGAGAATGCTTCCCCGTCATTCTTCCCGCCCTGTGACTTGCTTTTGTCTCTAGGGATAGGCGCCACAGTCACTCACATTTTTATTTTCTTCTTTAATCTTGAGTGAAGACCAGCCTTACGATTATTCACGCCAGTTAGTGGAAGCATTTTCACAAAGCAACACTTGGCGAGTGGTGGGCCATGATGAGAAAAATGCCGGCAATTTCTTTTTGCTAGAAATCTAGCAAAATAAGTCATCCTGTTTGATTTGTAAGAAGCACGACTTTTGTTTGCTGGTGATTGTCTCTGAACTTATTTCCCTGGCACAGTTTAAACTAAGAAATGTTTTCTTTTTTCTGCGCTGCGTGCAAACCTGTGTACAGGCTATAGCGGATGTAAATGGGCCTTTCTTAAACAGCTAGCATATCCTCTAATGGCTGCCGCGTCAGTGACCTAGAAGACCCTCGAATAACCAATCTATCTGGTCTACCAAAAGGCTGCAGCATTTCAAACCTAGTAGGTGATCCCTTCATTTTGAGACCGTTCTTTCTGGAAGGAAATCCCGTCTAACAAAGCTCTCCAAACCTTATTATTTTCTGCTGAAGTATAAATGGATGCACAGAACTAGCAGATGGTTTTATAAATATCACAGAAGGATGAAGGAGAGGGTTAAACTTCCAGGACCTTTCTAGCAGTTAGTGAATTTTACTTAGTGACACAGGAAGGCAGGAAAAATGTGGACTTCTCATTCATTACTATATCTGAAAATAGCTCAAATTAAGCCAGAGAAAAACAATATTTCTTTAGAGTGGACATGAAAATGAAGATCCAGGGTGCTTTTTTTTCCCCCTAAAGCTTTGAACATAAAATATTGTTTTTATTTTTAAAAGTTGACTGTGTATTGGGTTCCTGGTAATTTATATTTCCTTTATAGGTGTTCCATATGTATATTTCCATCCTTTCCTAAGTTAATAAATTTATTATCACATTTCCTCCATAAGACAAAAAATAAGATTCAAACTTCTGATGGCCCTGGATCCATTTGCATGCAAATATGTTGCATTGACCTAACATCGCTAAGAAATAGCAAAGAGGAGAAGGAAACCCATAAGGTATATTTTGGATGGAACTGTGTCATATCCCTTATCTGATGCTTGTTTTCATTGGTAAAATGGCACAGCGTTCCTTTTTCT